TTTGGGCTCTGAGAGGGGGGGGGCGGGAGTACAAAATGCGTACTCCCAGGCAATTATGGGCTATGACAAAAAAGAGGGAGGGCAGCGGGAGTACACGTTTTAGTGTTTTAGGCGCTTGAAAGTTCCAAAATGCGTGCTCCCAGGCAATTTTGGGCTCTGAGAGGGGGAGGGTGCGGGCGGGAGTACACGTTTTAGTGTTTTGGGCGCTTGAAAGTTCCAAAATGCGAGCTCCCAGGCAATTTGGGGCTCTGAGAGGGGGCGGGGGGGGGCAGCGGGAGTGCACATTTTGGTGTTCTGAAAAGGGGGACGCTCGCTTCGAAAAGCTCTCGAAGAGCGGTTCAACGTTTGCCCGGAAAGTCGGACGCCGGAAATCCGGCAGCTCGTGGAAGAGCACTTGACAACCAAAAAAAATGAGCGTTTTGTCGTGCTGATGTGGTAGATTGCTTGCCGTGGTGAGAAAGTGTCTTGTTATGGTGAGTATTGTGTTTGCCTGTCGTGGTTGCAACGCCCCCTCGGTTCGTAGTTCGTGAAGCCAAGTTTACTGTAGTCGTGCTGGGAACCCAAATGATATGGTCCCCCTGTAGATTGAATATGGAGTATGTGGGGATCTAATTATAGTATACCCAAAGCCATATTCTATTTACTTCAGAGAGGGACTATGGCCACAAAGAGGCTGGCGGCAGAAGCCGCCTGGTGCAGTGGGAATTGTGCCTTGGCTGTGATCAGCGGGCCAGAATGAATGTATAGTATATTGGGGTTACATAGGAATAATGGAAAAGAAAATGGAAACTACTATAGTATATTGGGGTTATATAGGACAATGGAAAAGAAAATGGAAACTACTATAGTATGTTGGGGCTATATAGAGACAATGGAAAAGAGCATGGAAAGAAACTACTATAGTATATTGGGTAATATTGGGATAATGGAAAAGAAAATGGAAACTACCATAGTATATTGGGGTAATCTTGGGTCAATGGAAAAGAAAATGGAAACTGCTATAGTGCATTGGGGTCATATAGGGATAATGGAAAAGAAAATACCAACTACTAAATCGAAAAGAGCATGGAAGCTCTTTCACAAGGCGTAGGTCCGCGCGCAGCCTGACTCGCGGCGTAGGGAAGTGGCTCGCCTCATGGCTCAACTGCCTGCGAAATTGGACCGCCTTGATTTTACAGGGGGCCTGGATATTTCGAATATGGCGCTGAACTGTTATTGCCGGGGTCCACATGAGCCATAGTCTACACTCCTTAAGGAGGATCATACAGGAGAGTATTATGGGGGTCACAAAGGGGGATACTAGGAGTTTAGACTGTGGCTCACATGAGCGTGCAGAGCCGTGTGGACAGGTGCAGGTTGAGGACGGCGATGATGGCGAAATGCTTGCGGCTCCTCCAGAATCAGATTTTGTTCGTAACAGGAGTAGATAGGGGTTATATTGGTGTATGTATAGAGGAGTTATATGGCTTATAAATAGGGGTTATATTGGGGTATAGCGGTTATATAGGGAGTGCTCATTTGCAGGGTTCCACGGAGCTTTGGGTTCAAAAACGTAGCCGACACACAGCGCCTTCTGGGAGTTCGAAGCTGCGGATGCGATGCGGACTGTACACGACAAGAAAGCCTGTATAAACCCAAATTATTTGTAAATATATCCCATATGTCCATCTATATGACCCCAATCAATATCTAACCCCAGAACACACCCCTGTATACCCCCAATACAAGCTTATACATAACCCCTATAACCCTATACATGACCCCCTATAACCCTATACATTACCCCTATATAGACGGAGCAAGAGCTTCAACTTAGGCGCTCTCGAGCGGAGAGCTGTCGGAGCCTTTGCTGATCTAACTGTCCCAAACCCTCTGCTGAGCAAGAACTCGAACTTACTGGAGGTTAGTAGGGATTAGGGTTTAGGGTTTTGGAAGGTTAGTAGGGAATAAGGGAATATAGGGGTAGACTATATGGGGTTTGATCGGGATACCGGAAAAGAAAATGCAGACTGACTCCTATTTAGGGTCTAGGGTTAGTAGGGAGCAAAGGGATATATATATATATGTATAAAGATATATATATATATATCATGAATATATTTATATAAATATTGATTATAATATTCCCTTTTTCCCCTTACTAAAAACCAGTAAGGCTACTCAACAAGGTAGGTGTAGATTAGGTAAACTGCAAAGTTGCCATTACTTGCGACATGATTCGTCATAGTGGTTCTTAGTAGGAGGCAACCCCAAGCACTGAAGCCACTAATACCGTCACTCACTGAATCCTCACTCCTGGTCCTAAATTCTTGTTCAAAAGTAATATTACCTGAGGTGGGGTGGCTAAGGAGCTTGCATAGCACGTTTTCCGGAAGTGCCGGTAATACGCCTCCCCCAGAACCTGTTTCCCTATAGGTTACTCCCGACAAAACAGAATCGGATCTTCCACGGACAACACGAACTCGAAGAAATGTACATCCTGTTTACCCAGTTTACCCAAGCCCTCAAGGCTCAACTGCGTTTACCTGGGCATTCTAGCTCACCCAGAGTGCTTCTCTAGTCCGTCCCTGCCGTGAACGGGTATTTTCATATCATTTTCAGAAGCAGAGGTGGTCCACGTGCACCCAAGCAATCTTACTGGTGGTTAGGAGGGAATGAGGGAATACAATCCCTACATTTGTATATTCCCTTATTCCCTACTACCCCCCAGTTGACCCCTTTTCAAAGAAGGGTCCGCTAGTCTTTAGAGAATAGTCGGAATAAGCATAGTCATAGTACTCGTAGTAAGAAAATAGTAGCAGCCATAAGAAAATCATAGCAGTAGTGGTAGTGCTTCCCAACCTGTCTGAGATGTCTGTCAGGCATTCCTGGGGGCCCAAGGCTCTGGCTGGCTGCCGGGTCGCGTCAGCGGGGTCATCCCCAAAGAGGGCGTAGCTTGGCAGATTCAAAACTACAGTAGGGAGGGTGCTGCTTTGGTTTCAGAATTTGGGGTTGCATTATGGGAGCTACGCAAGTAATACGCTTCACAAGGATTTGATGGAAGCGCGGTGTTGTGTGCCCTGCTTGACTCATACGGAGGGAGGTTCACATTCACAAGGCTACAAAGTAGTAGCTCTCTTGCGGCATCTGTATTACACTTCAGCCCTTGTGATTGCCGTCATCGGCTACCAAAATCAGACCAAGGCGATACCAGTTTTGCGCCTTGACCGTACTTGTTTAGACCCTGGCAGCGCAGGTTGCGCAATACTTGGAGGCCCTTCTTTGGTGCCTTCAGACCTACTCGACAGGCCAGATCGTGAGCTTCAAAGTCATGCTCTGGGTTGGGTCTAAGAAGTGTGGTTACTGACCTTGAAAGTGAAGAGTTTGTATCTTGGGAAAGCCAGCCTTACTATGCACTGCATGTTGTTTGCTAACTTTGGCTCGGTGTAGGTGAGTGTCCAGACTGTCAGCGACGCTTCCCGGCTTACCTCAAGGAGCAGGGTGTTGACATGCACACGTAAGGGAGCCCAAGCTTGTCTGCTTCAGTGGATTCCCCTCATGCTGAGCTCTTGCCAACAGGCGTCCAATTTGAACGAGCAAACTGGTAGCCAGTGGGTGGTTTGAACCAACCACTGGGGAAAGCAGGTTCCTTGTCTGAAGCCCTTTGGAGGAGTTTGCCTCTGCTTCGCTGATGGTTGAGGAGATGACTTGCCTGCCGGCAGAGTGCTTCAAGGCGCAAGGGGCATGTCAATGGCCCTTAGCCAGATGCATGGCCTCCCCTTAATTTGAGTTACTATGTTGGGGAAACCCTATTAGTCATTATATGTACCCATACTGGTAACTTAATTTTAGCTCCTTAACAGCAACCCCCTGGCCTGTCTGGATGCCTGAGCGGTTACAAGGAAGCTTTGGTTCTGTGAAAGGGATTTGTGTGCCGTGAGCCCAGGGCCTTGGTCAAGCCAAGCCTTGCCTAGCTATACCAGCTGTGTTTAACTGAGGCCACAGTAAGAAGATTTGAGTAGGTGAGCAGAAGTGTGAAATGGTGAGAACGGAAGAAGAAGAAGCGGCAGGGACAGGAGCAGGAGGAGGAGCAGCCTGGCAGTTTCTCCAAATTATTCAAAGAATGTTTAGCGCGGACCCCTAGAAGCCCTTTGTAGTGCCTAATATGTCTCTAGGGCCCAACAGCGTTAAATCTTAAGCCACCCAAGTGTGAGGCTCGCCGGAGCTGTGGTCTCCCTCTGTCGCCCTTATGCTGTGCGCTTGCCATCCTTCCAGTGGCAGACGTGTTCACTGCCTGCACTGAGATGTGCTCATCAAAACAGGAAGCAGTAACTAAGTAGTTGCTGTTAAGGGAGGGAACAGTATGTATTCATGATTGGACATTTTTTTGCCGTGATAGGAAGCAAGTGGTCATGAGTCGATTGATTACCAGGCTAGGCACGGACATCCCTAATCCTGCTGAGTAGGAGTCACTGGCTCTGGGCGCTTTGGTGTATAATTCCATGCGAGACGTGCTACATGAAAGTGACGACTCCGTTCTCCCCACTGAAGAAGAGATAGTCTACAAGACACTCGCGCGCGCTGCGTTTCTAGAATTGGTCCTCACCCTTTAATGGTTGTTTGGAAGGGTTACCACAGGGCTTTAGTAGACACGCTGTTATCCTTTCGATTTTTTTTCATGCGTTCTGCCTTGAACCTACTCTTGCGAGTCCCAGCAGGCCTCACGCACATGGGACGAATCCACATATGGATACTTGTAGCAAGCACATGAAGCAGCCTGCTGTTCCCACGTCATGCTGCTTCTAGAACTTAATGGCACTAGTTGGCACCAGGAAACTCAGCAACACGGACACCAAGAGGAGCTCGTGTTAACACACCTTGAGCACACCTTTGCCTTTCCCACGTGGTGTGGCCAAGAAATGTACCGCAAGCGGAAATGCACAATCCACTCTGCAGGAGTCATAACATTATGTCATATACTATGTTACTATATAGCCATATTACTATGTTACTATATGATCTATATATGGTAGTCTCCTAATATTAGGGGACCCGGATATAGACACCAACATGTTATAATCCTGATTATGCGGATCCCCAAAGTGGTGCCCCAAATTTTGGGAAACCCATAACCCTACACCGTAAATAGTAGATTCCAATCTCGTGCCCACTATACCCAATATTACTATATTCTCCCTACATTACGTACTATATCCATATCACTAACCCCCCCAAAGTCTTTCTCGACAAGGCGGCGGGTGGTGCTTCCAGCCCAGCCTTCGCTTGCAGTGCTACTCCAGGAAGGAGGACTGCTTGGCGAGGCCCAACCTTACTTGGGATTATTAGGGAATACAGGAATATAGGGGTATTTGATAGGGTTGTACAGGGAATATATAGGGAATAAGGAAATGTATTACGATAGGGATTACATTCTCCAGTAAGCAGCATGATCTTGGACCGCTGGTTCGGGTTTCAAGGAGCTTGACGCTAGCCAAGGGAATCTGGTGCTCAAGCTGTCAGGAAGCATGCCATCATGAAGTGGAGATACGCGCATGCACACATCCTAAGTGGAAAGGGATGTTTTTCTGCGGGCTGTAAGACATGGATTTTATGTGAAACGTCCTTCGAGATCAAAATTGTTGCGTGTTGGCACCACGCATCTACTCTCCTTTAGGCGGGCCAGATGGAGTTCTAGATTTGTACATGCGTGCCGAGTAAGGTAAAATCGGCAAAGTGGAAGGATAAACTTGGGCGGATCGCAGTAAGAGGCTACGCGAATGAGCTGGTGGGTGGCCTTCCGCCAGGGTTCAACATGGTTCATGCTTGAGGAGATTCTCCGCAAAATTGGTGTTCAAGCGGTGATTGCTGGGTGCTCGCAATCCATGCCCAAGCTTAGCAGGTTGCCTCCTAGTTGAAGCACCCGTTGAACTGTGGACTCTAAATTTGCTTTGTGCGGGTATACATGCAGGCTTAGACCCTTAATCAACCCAGGGCCTAAGCTTCTTTACAACTCTCTATAGAATTTTGCTACACTCCAAGAATTCTAAAAATCCCAAACAAAGCCCTAGAAATATCCTCATTCTGATAACCCCATCTAGACGCTTGATCGCCTTCACGAATCAAAAGCGGTTGCTTCGCCGTTCTGCGCGCATCCGACCAAAATCGTAAGCAGTAGGACAAGAGTCGCAGGCCATCCTAGACCCTACGACAGCCGGTCATGCGCTCTCTCAGGGAGAGTGTGTGTTTGTGTGCGTGTGTACATGTGCACTTGACTCTACCTGTAACCCCAACTTTAATACAGCTTAGTAGGAATTGTCCCGTTGTGAGTATATATATCCCCTATGTTATAACATATGTACTTGTAGTTACAGCGGCTAGGCCCTAAACAAATCCCCTGTATTTACCAAGGTGTCCATTTAATTGTCCATTGTGTTTTCCAGTTGATTCCCCATTGTTGCCAAAGCTGTATGGCAGTTTCTCTGAATAGGAGGGTCCCAATATAGACCCCAACATATTATGATCATTATCATAGGGATCCCCTAGAATGGGAAACCCCCGTATGGATATAGTCCCCCTTAAGTAGATAGAATATGGGGTATATGGGGATCTTACTATAATATACCCGAAGCCATATAAACCCCTAAAACCCTAGACCCTAAATAGTAGTCTCCATTTTCTTCTCCATTATCCCAACATAACTTCTCTAACCCCTATATCTACTTAAGGGGGCCTACCCCTAGAATGCTAAACCCTCAATAGTAGTTTCCATTTTCTTTTCCATTATCCCTATATAACCCCCATATAACCCCTAACATTCTATCTACTTAAGGGGGCCTAAGCCCTGTGGATCAGGTGGCAAAGCTGGAGTCCTGCAAGGAGTGTCGTCAGCTGACTGCTGCCGTGGTTTGCTGGCTGCAGGGGTTTGCTGCTTCTGAGCTAGGGTTTAGGGTTTAGGGTTTTAGGGTTAGGGTTTAGGGTTTTAGGGTTTAGGGTATAGTCTAAACTCCTTAGAGGAGGTTATATAGAGGATTATATTGGGGAGTATTATAGGGGCTATTAAGGGGGATATTAGGAGTTTAGACTATGGCTCATGTATTGTGGAGGTTTGTAGGGGTATATGAGGATTTCCCAAAATTCGAGGTACCTTTTTTGGGGGTCCTACTAGTATTTGGGGGTCTATATTGGGTCCCCCTATTTTGGGAAACTACCATATGAGCTATAGTCTAAACTCCTTAAAGTGGATTATGTGAGTGATTATAGGAATACTAAAGGGTGTATTAAGGGAAAGATTGGGAGTTTACGTAGACTATAGCTGCTATAGTGTCAAATAATGGAGAATCAAATTCAAGAGAACATGGAAAATGATGTGGCAGGGGCTTATAGGGTTGATGATGGCCGAAGTTCATTGCTGTAACAGAGAGATCTGTTGGGTTCTTTACAGACGGAGGGACCTGGAAGAACGGGAAGAATAACAGAGTTCTAAGAATTGGTAATTTGTCAGGGGAGGAGACAGCATTGCAGCATGCTTGAGAGATATTGTGCCAGTGGAAGTGTACCAGTGGTAATGTGGCCTTTGGGCCTTTGCAGACTTGTCTTGAAAGCAGTAGCGAGTCTAGTCCAAACTCGCTTCCTCTTACTGTGCTTCAATAGAGGTGTTGTTGCAAAGCCTGCGAAAAGATTTGGCATGATGGGTTTGGGTTGCGGTTGTGTGGTTTGATCTGGGATTCAGCTCGCAAGTCATCATGCTCCCTATATTCCCCTGCTGTGACCATGCGAGCTGAACTTCTTGGAGCACTTGGTGGACTCCATCAGCTCGTGAGAAAACTGTTGGGCAGCCTGTGCTGTTCTTGACGAAGAGGGTTGTAGGTGAGGTATCCCATTGTCTGAGTATGTGACAGCGCCGGGTGATGCAGCTCATGAGCTCATTCATGCATACGCATGTTGGGCTGTGAGTTGTTGAGAGGTGCTTGCTTTCTTTGGCTTCCCCTAAGTGCCCAAGATTGCTGGACCCTCCGGATGGCACGGCAGAGAGAGAGAGAGAGATTAGCTCGTGAGAAAACTGTTGGGCGGCCTGTTGCGCGGCTCTCCTCCGTATAGTGACCCAAGAGAGCTTTGCCTTGTTTAGGAACTTTGCGCTGTCGGAGTGCTGACTCGGTTCCACATCATAGGCCGCGGGTCAATCATACAAGACGAGGCAAGCCCAAATCCTAAACTCCCCAACCCTAAAACCCCAAACCCTAGCCCCGCGTGTCTAAACCCTATAGAATCCCCTATATAACCACACTTCAGGTAGCTGGCCCCGTGGCTGGAAAGAAGGCGGCAAAGCACCGAAAAGCCTTGGAGGCCCAGCTTGGCAGAAGGAATTTGCTTGGGAGAAGTACCTTAGCGTAGTTATAGGGGTATAGAAAGGGCATGTAGGGATATATGGTATGGGTTTCCCAAAATGATGGGTACCCTTCGAAGGGATTTATTGGGGTATAAAGGGCTTAGGGTTTAGGGTGTCCCAAAATTAGGGTTTATGGTTTAGGGATATATTACCCCGAATAATGGAGAATCAAATGGAAAAGAATATGGAAAATGGCATGGAAACTGGGCTTATGTAGGGCTACGGTTTCCCAAAATTAGGGGCACCCTTTTTGGGGGTTACGCATAATAAGGATTATAGTATTTGGGGGCCTGTATTGGGGTCCCCTGAGGGAAACTACCAAGTAGCAGTGCGAAGGGGGGTCATCCATAGTACCGGACGAGGTCAGGTATGAAGAGCAGTTGACATTTCAGTGCTGAATCTTTGTTGGACAATATTCATATAGGAACTGCCTCTGGCGACTTGAAGCTGTGGACTTTAGCTCTTATGCCTCTACTCCAGCCCACAAGCAGAACCAATAGGAGGACACCTCCGATGACAACCAAAAGGAAGTACAGCTAGAGAGTGCAGACATGAGTGCCGAGGTCATGAAACTTCTCCCTATTCACTTGACCCTCTCAGTAGTTCTTTCCATGGCCCAGGTACACAAAAGGCAGCATCAGGATGTTGACGCAGCCCCTCGGCTGACATCCCTTACTTGCACGCTGTTTTTCGAGGGATGGGTTGGGGCATGAATTGATTGACCGTTGAGTTTGCAGTGTTAAATTTGTAACCGTTACATAACCCCAATATCTACCCTATTATAATATCTACCCTATTATGATATAGTACCCTTTTATAATATAGTAGTTCCTGATTCATCCAAAAGGCAGCAGCCAGGTCTCTTTGGAAGCCTTGGACGCGGAGGTGCGAAGGCTCTGCGCGGGTGCTGCAACAGCAGACCCGACTCTGGCTTGCAGAAAGGCACATGAAATAATAGTACTAGTAATAATAGTAATATAGTAATAGTAGTATGATAATAATAATAGTAATAGTAATAGTAATACTAATAATAGTAGTAATAGTAACAGTAACAGTAATAGTAATCGTACTAGTAATAGTAATATTAATAGTAATGCAGCTGCCAGCCGTTCTTGAAGCGAATGTCAGGCCGAAATGCAGCGAAGTTGTCATCTGACATTGAGCCTTTCTTTCGGCAGGGTTTCTGCGTGTGCGCCGAGGACGCCGATGGAAGTACAGACCGTCGCTGGAACTCAGAGTTGTCCAACAGAAGAAGCCAGGATGAATTCTAGAACTGTGCCTCATGGATGTATCTAGGCAGAGCGCTGCAAAGCGCGGGATTTTTGGAGTTCACTTCCATGCTTGGAAAGCGGTTGCTGAGGCAAGACCTGTGCCAGAGGTCGTTCCAGCAGCAAAGAAGGGCGACTCAAAAAAGAAGAAGCGGAAGCGCGGCTGAGAAAACGGCTATGTCCAAAAGAATTTCTCAGACGGCGGCCTACTGCGAGCTCCTCGGAACCCTCATGTACTGGAACTTCGGATGGTGACTGTGGCGACGATGCACTTCAAGGCGGATGCGCAGCCCGGCACAAATTTGGAGTTAAATCGGGCACAGGACCTCCTTTTCTCTTAGTGAATCCTGCGTCCTTTGTCTGTGCCTCGTTCTCCGTGCGCACTGTCACGCGATCACCCGCCATCACCCAAACTCGCGTCCTCACACTCGCGGCTAGTCGTCGGATCTTAATGTCAATGCATGGCACAGAATGTACAGGACGTGTTGGTGGCATCTTTGCTTCGAGTAAAGCAGCAATCCATAGGTTTGGCAGCAGGAAACCATCCCGTTTCAAATTGCCTGGTGCGGCCCTCCCGGTGTGCACATCACAGTTGCGTAGGTGACATGAGGCACGGCTCTCCAGTGGAAAACATAAGCACAACTTTGCTGCAATAAGTATGGTCAGTCCAGGCCACGAATCAAATGTTTTTTCGCTGTGCGTGCGAATCATGTGGAGTTTGATCGTGGACGTGCAAGGTGCTGTCTTGCCCATGCCTCTGGCCTGAACTCCAAAAGCTGGCGGACGCGACTTTGCAGGACCTGAACCTGCTCATAAAGGGCACATGCAGTTTGATCATGCTTCATCGCGATATTAATGGGTTGCGGAGTTCTACATTTCACATTTGCCAGGCATCGTCCTATGGTAGACAGCTGCAGGTAATCGCCACTGGTCAGGGAGCCTGCCAAATTCGTGCGTCACCCTGGCAGCTCGACACTGCGGAGAGTGCTAGGGTCATGTGCTTGTATGTCAATAGTGACCTGCACCGCAGAGCAACAGCAGCAGCAGCAGCAGCAGCAGCAGGAGCACAACCCAGGAGCAGCAACAGCAGCTGGAGAGCTCTGGCGTTAATAGCGCACATATAGTGTACAACTAACATGCCTGTGATGGCATGGAGCGACCTGGAACAAAAAAACAATGAGTAAGTCCTGAATCTGAGGAATGTCAGGTCCAAGTCATCGGCTTACTATTTGCTGACGCACACAGGTTCCCAACATATCCTGCAGGAGCATTGGCTGCCAGGGCAGCGGTGCCGCGGACAGGTTGGCTTTCAACGCCTGAGTGCAAAGACGAACACGAGCGGAACAAGAGCAAACAACAAAAAGTACGACCAAGCTGGCAATGCGTCGGCTCTGTTGCTGCAAGAGCAAAGCCTCGTGGCTGCGCATTAATTCCTGAGCCAGCAGCCTACCGAGGTAGCCGTGGAGATGGGGCCCATGTCTTCCGTGCAGTCCTTATCAGTTAGCCTACTTCCGCTGTTCCATGGGTCTCCACACCCCTCCATGCCCCTTCAACAGCCTTCGATTATGAGGGTCTTAATAGGCACTCGTGACATACAGGGTGTGGAACCCATGAGTGGGCGTTCTGTGTGAGATTTGGGGCTTGGGCCCTTTGAGCACAGACGTGACTGTAGGTTTGGGTGTTGCTCCTGGCCAGTTCCTGAGAAAGCTGTGGTTTTGACGCCGGGGCGGGCGAGCCGCTGGTGACGGCTTCCAACTTCTTGTAGCATGCGCACTTGCAGCTGACTGGGCACTCAATTGCGTGGCTGAGATGATTGCTGCTGTCCAGCGTTCCAGAATTCTTCTTGCCATAGCCATCCTCTACCAAGGCGGCCTGCATCTTGAGCCCCCTGTGAGTAGTATACGGCCTGCCCCGGTGGTTGGCTGTCAGATCCCTGAAAGATTCGCAGAAGGTAGGGGGATCTTTGCGCGGAAGTGCTCTGCTGAGGGTTCCTGACAGAAGCTGTATTGGAAGGGCCCTTACTATACAGTAATCTGTGTTCATGCGGAGTGCCGTGGCAACGTGTGTCATCTGAACCGTACCTGCAGGATGGCTGGGGAGAAGAGAGGGAGAGACAGAGAGAGAGACGGAGAGATTAGGTAGAAGAGGAAGACGGAGCGATTCGCTGGCATTTCCACACTTTTGCCTTCACAGGATGTGACGTCATCATTATGAGCAATCATCTCCACCGATATCCAGTGAGCTACAGCAGTCAAAGTCCTGTGTCCATCACTATCCCATCAGCTAGACAAGCAAGACCCGCCCCTTCAGAAATAACAAATCGCGGGCATTGCAGGCCTTGGCTGTGGTCTTTGCAGATATCTGCCACGACCTCAGAGCTAGTGCTAAGGCATCTTGGACGCTTTAACGATTTGAAAGCAGTCTGGGCCTTGACGCGCCAGCTGCCTTGCACTTCATCCTGTCTTTGGTTGCTCCTCTCAACGGCCTCGAGATTCGTTTTGCCAGGGCAAACACAAAGCCCTACCTCTTCATTCTCGGACACGTCGCTGCGGCAGCTGCGGCCTCGAAAGAATCTGGACATGTCCATTCGCTCTCTCTAGCTCTAGAAAAATCGGAGTTAAGGCAGGCTCCAAACATGACTGTTTGCTTGTCCGGGCCTCCAGGAAGTCAGATCTCAGGTATAGCAATCCTGACTTGCTGAGGCTGGCGTGCTAGCCATCTGAGCACTGAGAGGAGCTTTGCCAAAGTGGCTTGTGCGGAGCCTGCCGTTGCAGGGCGCAGCGTGGCTAAGCCAGGCCCAGTGCGCAAACTGGGTATGTAGGGATTAGAGGTATCACTTGAGAACTGGGGGATACATAGGGGTTATATAGGGTTTAGGGAAGTGATTGTTCTACCGGAAAAGTGGGGGTTTCCCAAGGGATGGTGCCCCAGTGATGGAGAATCAAATGGAAAGAACATTCAAAACGAAACCGAAACTGGGTGGGGGTTTCCCAAATGAGGGGTAACTTTTTGGGGGTCCCGATAGTCAGGATTATAGTTTGTGGGGTCTATATTGGCCTTATTTATGGAAACTACCACTTAGAATCGGTTCAGCATGATTTCCATTTGTGGTCCCCAATGTATTGGAAAGTTGCTGTGCGTATCTTCTTTGCGAAGCGATGCTGCTCTGGCATTGGCCTGGCTGGCACAGTTGGCCCACCTCTCGACTGAAAAGTCTATTGATTTGCGCCCGTCTTTTGAACGGCTGGTATAGAAATGCCTCGCGCCCATCTTCCAATATTCAAGGATACTCAAAAGCAAATCCAAGCCTCCTGAAACCAACTCCTTGTGGCTTTACACAAGTCCGGGCGTTTGATCCAACCGGCGACGAACTTGCCCTCCCGGCAGCTCTCACTCCTGACCCCTGACAACCAATCGTCAGAACTCCCGGGTAGAAGTTAGGTTGGATGTTGGCCGCATACCATAAGGAGTGATGCTGGCAGTCTGGGACGGACGGGGTGCCTCGAGATGTGAGAGTCTCCCAACCAAGGCCCCATTATGATGAGGAGGCCAAATTCTGAAGGAGCAACAAAGACCCACATTGTCTGGAGGCATACTGTAGCTAGATCACGAACGTTCTTGCCGTGATTTGCCGGCTTTCAAGTGTCAGAACATTCGGTGATCGATGGCGTGAAGAGGCCAAATCTACTTTCTTGTTTCCCGCTGCACAGCGGATATGAAGGCAGCCTCAGAACCAGCAGACCAAGCGACGCACTGTAGATAAGAGTTCAGGAGGCCTTTCCAAAATTGCTGGTGGGAAGGCTAGGCTAAGTCCGCTAAATGTTCTGCGGGTTTTGAGCAACGCCGGCGCAACTTTTTTGAAGCATTGCAGACTGTGAGCGGGGACCTGCACCAGGGAACCCATGAGGATCGCGATTGTTGGGTCTCTTTCCTGCCATCTCAAAGGAAAGGGAGTGGTTTGGTTGCGCATATTGGCAAGGTGTTTCAGGTACGACACTCGCGGAAGTTTCAGCTCAACAGTCGACGTCGCGGCAGGCAGATGTGAGAAAAGGTATCGCGCAGAAACGTCTCCAACGAAAATTACATTCAGGCAGTTGCAACAGGAGTATCAGGTCGATCACGGCCTGAGACTTTCATGAAGAGCAGTGCCTCGTGACCAGCTGAAAAGCAGTCAGGTAGGAAACTATCCTTAGAGTGCAGCGGTTGTGTTCTTAAGGAAGCTTTTGGCAGTTGTTTGTGCTTTCACCAGCAGCTTCTCAAAGTGCTGAAGCCAAGACTGACACTTGTGCTCAGCTGCACACGGGCTTCCCCAATAGTTGCCCAATTCATCAAGGGCATAGAAAGATAGTGTATCTACGCTATGAGTGGGCTGGCCGCAGAAGTCTGAAAGGCCGGCGCGCAGTCCTCCAAGATCAGTTCCTTCCAAATCTCCCTACATACGCCTGGCATTTTCTAACTGCGCCTCAAACTTCTGAATGGTAAGTACTGGAATCCTGCAGCATGCATGAAAGAGCGAACTGCAACCCCTTCAACCCTGCAGACCCTACAGCCCTGAAGCCATTGACTTCGCGCGAACCCAAGCCTAAGTTCAAAGAATTACTGCCATGTGCGTGATCCAGAGCAGTGCGGCACATGCGCTTTGCTGCGGCGCTACCATGGGCGCCTCATCCCAGAATGACTTGGCAATAAAGGGGTAGGCCCATCACAGCGATGAGACTTCCGGTGATGTTTGGCATTCATGTCGAGACATATCCCGGCGCGGCTTCCCGGACTTTCTTGGTGGTCCTGAAACTCAAGCAGTCGTACCAAACACCAGGGTTTGAGACCTAACTGGTGACTTTACGCAGAAGAGTCTCAGTCCTGTATGATTTGACTCTTTGCATGACACCGGGGAGCGGCCGGAACAGAGGGTCCTAGGGCTACGATGGCAACGCAACAGCAAGCATGAGGCTTCGCCATTGCGGGTATATTATGGTAAATTATGCATTATAGTAAATTATGTTATTAGCGTATAACAGGGTATATTATGGTATATTATAGCATATTATCAGCAGATTTTCGCATATTATAGTACAAGACATCTAAACTTCGCATAGGTTCGCACAAGCTAAGCTGGAGATTCCGACCGCCCAGGTGCTGCTGGCCAGCTACATCGACACTTTGCTTCCTTCTTCTCAGAACATGCGGTTTATAGGGGTTATATGGGGATTATATCGGGTTTAAGGTTTGGGATTTCCCCAAATTAGGGATATAGGGTTTAGGTTTAGGGATATATTGCCCCTAATAATGGAGAAGCAAATGGAAGAGAAGATGGACCATGAAAAGGAAAGTGGGTTTATGTAGGGATAGGGTGTCCCAAAATTAGTGGTGACTGTTTGCTGTAGTAAGGATTCGAGTAAGGATTCTAAGGATTATAGCATTCTGGAGTCTTGGGCTCCCCCTACTAAGATGTGTCAGTAGCAGGCATTGATAGCTGCGGTCATTGTGGCGGTTCGTCCTTTATCACTACTCCTTGCACTTGCCAGTCATTGCTATTGTGCCACAGCAAGCGATCCTCTTCAGCAAAACCTCCTCCCACACTCCTAATACAAAGCGATTGAATCTGGTGCCATAACGTCTCCAGGCAGAATTTTTTTGGGTGGTTGGGGGCCCAATGGGGTTCGAGAACCTTGGCCGAACAAGGATGCCGCCAAAGACGAGGCATCCTGTCAAGACTTGCTGGCACTGCCGCAAGAAAGCGAGCAACTTGTCAAGATCAGTTTTTGAGGCTTTCTCAATAAATTGGGTGTCTCGTTTTGAAGGGTTCGATGAGCGGATATGGGATTATTGGCGGATGTTATGGCGGAGGACAGGAATGGGACTTGACCTCGTTTTTGGCAGGCAGGCAGGCAGGGAACACTCGGATTCCATGCCTCAAATAGACTGAAGCCCATGCCGCAGCCTTCGCAGGTGACCTTAGGAGCCCCGACCCACAAGAGCGTCACATTGCAAGGGATTTCTCAAACATAAGGGTCCCTTTTGCAGGCTTGATCGCAGCACAGAAACAGACAGTTGACCTCCACTTTGCATCGTGAAATTTGTTCTCTCACAAGTAGTACTGATACGGTGGTACTGGTACGGTGAGACATCTCGACTATCAACTTGGAATCCGCCATGCGTGGCGGCACAGCCACATATTTCAAAAACTCAGCCTGGAGAGGTCTACAAAGTGCGTCACAGGCGACTGCAGCTGCCAAATCTCGGTGGAGGAGGCAGCATTTGCAGATGTTGATCTTGGTCATGCTGAGTCACGCTGGGTCACAGGCATTTAAGTGCTGCAGACGCCCCAGCTAGCTGACGTGGCTGCCGTGGTCAGGTTGTGTGGCAAGTGCTGAACCCACAGCCAGATGGCTCCGCTGGCATCAAGTCACTGGGCGCAGCTTGCTAGGCCTGGCTTGGAAATTGTGGACTGAACTGAGACGCGTATTGCAGTTGCTTGCTGGAAGCAGCACTCCGTATGAAGCAAGGTATCGAGCTCGCAGCCTGACCCCAGCCCTCTCACGTTGGATCGAGCAAGCACTTGCCTTCCTTCAAGGCTGGGAATGCAGCAGCATCGATTTCAACCTGCAAAATTACCTCAAAATCAGATGCTTGCAAGGCCAGGCCGCTCTGGACTCCAGCTCCTTGCCTTTCAGGGAGGGGCTGACGCGCTATGAGGGCTCTTGCAGTAGGGCATGAATTCCAATGCATCGTAGCAAACATGCAGATGGTCGTGCACTTGCGGCAGTTCCTTCAAGTTGTGTATTCCTGCAGTCGAGCTCTGAGTAGGGAATCCGAGCTTTCCAGCTGGTGCCTCCCGCACCATGGCTGCCGAGCGCGCAGAGGTGATGCGGGAGCCCGCCTCATCCGAGCAGGGCTTACCGGTTTTGCTTGGAAGAGATCACCACCAAGGCATTCATCACGATGTCGAGGTGGGCAAGGTGAAGACACAGACGGAGCAGGATGAGGTTGTCGAGCAGGCGCAAGAGAAGCCAACCAGCAACGATATTTCGGCCATCACCACTCACCTCAAATGTTGTGAGAAGGTGGTGCTTTACTTGGGTGCATTTTTCGCCCTGGCCCAGGGAGTGTCTAGCCCTGCGATTGCGAAGTTTTCCGCAGAGGCCATCACCACATTGACAGGCTATGATGGCCCTACCGACCATATCCTTGACGACATGACTCCAGTCCTCGTCAAGATCGCCATCCTTGCCGGCGCGCAGTTCACGTTTGCCTTCGGTTGGCAAACATGCCTGTCCTGGGCTGCCTCCAAACAAGCTAACCGTTGGCATCGGGGCTTCATGGAGGCCCTCTTGACCTTGGATGTTGCCTGGTACGACGAGAATGAGCCGGCAGGTGTTGCAGCTAAGCTTGAGACCGACATTGCCAATGTTTATAGCTTCATGTGCACAGGATGTGGATACCTGCTGTCAAGCTTTGCCCAGTTCATCGCGGGCTTGTCCCTGGCGTTTGTCAGCGGCTGGCAGCTGTCCTTAGTCGTGTGCGCAACCATTCCTGTGATGATGTGTGTGGCCCACCGACTGGGAGTAGAGATTGAGTGGCAGACCTTCAACCAGCAGAAAGACTTTGCTCGGGCATCTGCCGTAGCGGAGGAGTCGATGATGGCCATCCGCACCGTCGCAGCCTTTGGAGGCGAAGCAGCAGAAACAGCGAGGTTCGAAAAGGAGCTTCTCTCAGCAAAGAGGGGTGGAATTCGATCAGGATTCAGGATCGGAATCTTCTGGGGTGGCCTCAATCTGTTCTACACCTGCCTCTACGGCTTGGCACTATGGTTTGGTGGCCACGTCCTCATGGCAGATGAGCGTGGCAGCTTTGAGCCTGCCAACATCGTGACAGTGATGATCGCCATGCTGGTGCCTCAGAAACTATTTTACAAAAGCTTTTTTGTAGCAAAACCCCAAGGACCTGTTCAAGGTGTCCTTTTTATTAACTGTAGATGTAGTTCCCAAATTTAGGGTCCCAATTTTGGTACCTCTATATATTAGGTGCCGTAATATATTCCATAAGCAAAAAGGGGCCTAAATTTTGAGAACAAACCATAGGTCTATTTAAGAGGATTGCAGGTGGATGTTGCAGGCTTCAGCTCCTCTCTCCCAAACCCTAAATCCTATAGTCCCCCTTAAGTAGATAGAATATGGCCTTGGGTAACTTATAATGAGATCACCATATACCCCATATTCTGTCTACTTAAGGGGGACTATAAACCTTAAACCCTAAATCCTAAACCCTAAGTAGTAGTTTTCATTTTCTTTTCCATTATCCCAATATAACCCCAATATGACCCTATATATCCCTTTAAAGGGAAACCCTAAACCCCATGGGGACCCTAAGCCCTAAACTTTTAAACCCCAAACCGCAGGTGGGCGTCGCAGGGCTTAGCTCCTTCAGCGGATTCGCTCCCACCTTGGCAAGAGCTGTCGTCTCTGCGAAGTCCATGCGGCAGGTGACGACATCCAGTTTAGGGTTTAGGGTTTAAGGGTTTAGGGTTTAGGGTTCAAGGGTTTAGGGTTTAGGGTTTAGGGTTCTGATTAGGAATCCTCAAAAGGGGGGAAAAGATAGGGGATCTAGGGGTTGTATAGGGTTCAGGGAAGCCCATAAAAGGGGGCATATAGGGGATATATAGGGTTCCCCGAAATTGGGGGGATCACTTGATAAAGTGGGTGGGTGGGGGTGTATATATAGGGGTTTTACAGGGTTTAGGGATTCAGTCATAACTGGGTTATGAGGGGGGGCTTCTCAAGGGATAGTACCCGAATGATGGAGAATCAAATTGAAAGAACATGGAAAATTAAATGGAAACTGAGTTTATGTAGGGATCGGAGTTTCCTACAGTTAGGGGTACTGTTTTGGGGGTCCCATAGGAAGGATCATAGTATTTGGGGGTCTACACTATAGTTGATATACCTTGAATTTTAAAAAGCGACAGTTCTGGTTAGGATCCCCAAAGTAGAAGAAGGTGTGATATGCTGCCAACCCCAGGTGGTGAATTATCAGCGTGTTATCGAGCGCCCTATCTACACGCAAGAGCCACTCCCAGAGCAGCTCAAGACCCTTGACACCATCGAGTTCCAGAACGTGAGCTTCAGATACCCCACACGGCCAGAAAAGTGTGTCCTTCAGAATTTTAGCTTTAGGGTGGAGAAGGGTCAGAAGATTGCCTTTGCTGGTGAAAGTGGCTGCGGCAAGAGCACTACCATTCAGCTGCTGGAACGCTTCTACGACCCATGCGAGGGCCGGGTGCTGGTGAATGGCATGAACCTGAGCCAGGTGCCTCCCTGACAGCCTCGGGTCAAGAAATCCACATTTGGGGGGGGGGCCCTGTGGTTTTTATCACAGACTGCATTTTGAGGACCCTTACTTGTGTCGTTGCATGAAGCGACCAAGCTGTGTTCCAGGGTCCAGTTTGCAAGAAGCGTCAAGGTCTTGCTATGTCTTGCTGGTGTTGGAAGGACAGGGGCCAGGGGTGATGCATTCTTGTACCCTCAGGTGCCAGCCAAAGCATGGCGCAAGCAGATCGGCTATGTGGGTCAGGAACCCGTCCTCTTCGCTACCTCTGCAATGATGAATGTGAAGGCAGGGGACGACTCCATTAGTGACGAGCACGCGATGGAGGCAGCAAAGAAAGCACAGATCTATGACACCCTGATGGAGCTACCAGAGCAGTTTGACACCTTCGTAGGTACAGGCGGCGGGTTGCTGTCTGGGGGCCAGCGGCAGCGAGTAGCCATTGCCCGAGCGCTGGCGAAGAATCCCCAGATCCTCTTGCTCGATGAGGCAACCTCGGCCCTAGACAATGAGTCAGAGCGCATGGTGCAGGCGACCCTGGACTCTCTTGGCAGCGTTCTCGGGCGGAGCATTACAACAATCTCCATTGCCCACCGGCTGACTACCATCAAGGGCTCCGACATCATCTACGTCTTGAAGGATGGCCGCTGCTGCGAGCAGGGCTCCCACGAAGAGCTCATGGAGAGCCGGGGTGAGTACTACAGCATGGCAAAGCTGCAGCAAGCCACCAGGGAGAGGGAGGAGGAGAAAGAAAAGGCCCCGGGCTGGAAAACACAAGCCTCTCAAAGCCAAGGATGCCCTATCACGCAACTCCCTGCCCCAAGAACTTAGGGGAAGCCATGAATGTTGCTCCTTTGTGGCAAGGAGGACTCCGCGAACCCCCTCGTACTACCTCTGCCGGAGGGTGCGGCGCAAAAAGTGGCTAGGTTGACATCTCGCACCCCCACTGATTTTTTGACACGCGTTTCATAGCTCAGCAAACGGGAGGGTAACAGCAACGACTAGCACCCTCCCCATGTGTGCCATTAGAGACCGCTGTTTGAATGATGACTGTTTAATCCTTCAAGGGTATCCGCGAAAATGCCCTCATAATCTCAATATATCCTGATACTGTATGATAGGGCTGCGAAGGTAAAGCGAGAAAGTAGGGTCCCCAATTTTAACCTCTTTATATTCCTCATCAAGGGAACCACCCCCCAAAAGGTACCCCTATTTTGGAAAACCCAAACAATCCCTACATAACCCCAGTTTCCACTTCGTTTTCCGTTTGACTCTTCATTAGATCCATGTACCTAAACCCTGAACCCTTAACCCAAAAATGGTAGTTCCCCTTTATAGGGGCACCCCACTACAGACCCCGAAATATTCTAATCCTTATTATGGGGCCCCCCATTAAAACGTACCCCCATTTCTGGGAAACCCCCCATATCGTGGCAGCAAAAACACTGGCAAGGTGAATGCACAGAAGTCGGCTTTGCGCAGCGCTTCGGCCCTTAGCTTCCTTGAGCCTTATCCCAATGCTTTGAAACATTGATGTTTCTCAAAAGGGGGGCCCTTAGCAATTCCAGAAGTACTTAAGGATTTTGAAGGGTGGTGTGGCGGAGGGGGCCTCATTTGGGATTCTTGTTTGTTTTTGCGATATGCTCATGTTTGCTGTGCCTTGGAAACATCCCGAAAGAAAGGCACCCCATAATGTTCATGTTTGTTAATGTGTTTACTGGTCCTGGATTTTCCCTTGGAGTAGGCGTTGAAGTGGGGTACCTGGATGTAGATAAGCCCATCAACGGAGCGAATCAGTGCACTTGTATTGCGGATCTCCAAGCCCAAGGGGCCCCTAAATCTTAACGCCAGTATGTCAGTTTCCATAAATTGGGGCGCCCCAATATAGACCCCCAAATGCTATGATCCTTCTTGTTGGTACCCCCTAGAGGGTAGCCCCCGTTTTGGGAAAAAGCCCTCTTCAGGAAGCTTCTCTTGGTGTGGACGAGAACGGTCAAGCCAGCCATGCTCGCGTTTGGTGCCGTCTTCTTGGCATCATGAGGATTTACTGGCAACTCGCGCTAGCTTCATGAAATGGGTCGCCGAATAACCTTACTTTCATTTCACATGGAAAGGCCTGCGCACTGCCCCAACTTTTGATGAAGGGCTGTTCGATTGGATTCAAAAGTGGCACAACAGTAGCATGTTCGAGGACAACATCCCTCAGCTAGTCCCCACCTATTCACTGATTTCACTGCTCAAGGTACGTTTGGCCGTTAGCCTTGCTGGTCATGCTGGCAGAGGCCGCCACCATGCCTTTGCAGGCCGTCTTCTTCAATATGGGTATTTACGCCCTCTTCCAGGGCGTCCCAGGAGCTGGCAATAGAATGGCGTTCCATGTGTCAAATTTTTGTATGGGTCTCCGAATTCGTCGGAGGGGCTACATAAGCCATAATTTAAATTCCTTAAAAGGGTGGATTTAGGGTACTACTATAGGCTATAGGGGTTATGAAGGGGGATGCTACGAGTTTAGACAATGGCTCACATGAGCCCATAATATATTACAGTATAGTCTATCATATATTATAGTATAATATACTATATTATGCTATAATATGTTCATATATTATAGTATACTATATTATATTATCCCATAATATGTTATCAAGGTCACGGAGGGCCTGGAGAACATGTATCCCAAGTTGGACATGGCTGTGGGATGTCTCGTCCTCATCGGCTTAGGCTCGGCAGTGGCAGTCTTGTGCCAGAACTCGCTCTTCACTTACCTGCAGGAGCCTGGGATGCTGTTAAGGAAGTTGAGTTAAGTTACTACCAGGACCCTCCTCGTACCCTTTAGATACAGTGAATACAGGCATATGGTCCCTATTTAGGGTATATAGAGGGTAGAGGGAGGGTCTAGGGATACAAGGAAACTTCATGGTAACTGAATAACTTAAGTTCCTGAGTCGCAACCCAGGAGTCCCTCTGCATGATCCTTCGGAGGGCAGCGTTCGCCAGCACCATCCGCATGGACATGGCCTTCTTTGACAAGCCTGAAAACCAGACTGGCAGTATCCTGGTCTCCTTGGAGAGGCACATGAACCGGGTGGGGCAGATGCTTGGCATCCAGCTGGGGAACTCCTTGAGTGCCATCTTCACCTGCATCATCGCTGTCAGCTTGAGCTTCATTGGCTCCTGGGTTCTGGCTGTGGTCCTACTTGGCCTGCTTCCCATTTGTGCCTTCATAGGCCTTAGAGTGGCCAAGTGCGCTGCTCACGTGGATTCGAAGACCGAGGAGGCATACGCCAGGGCAGGGAAGACCACGGCTGAGGCTGCGACCGCCATTCGAACTGTCAGGGCACTTGGGGCAGAAGAGCACATTCTCAGCATCCTCAGGGAAACTATGGGTTATGTGAATCAGTCGAATTCTGGAAAGTCCTGGAAGATGGGTCTGTCGCTTGGTGTCAACATGATGCTGATTCAGCTGATCTACCTGGCTGGCTTTGCCATGAGTGGCATCTGCATCCAGTTCTGGAACTACAACGCGCACGAGGTCTTGCTCACCCTCTTCTGCATCGTTTTCGGCGTGACGTCGGTTAGCTCCATCGTCCAGTACATTCCAGACAGCGCTTCGGGATACCATGCCGCTGGGGAGGTCTGTGGGGGGATCTGCGGGCAGATGTTAAGACTGCTTCTGGATTATGAAGTTGAGGGGCGTGATGAGGTATGGTCATATCTGGCATGCTATCCGTTTCTATAATGCGTTTCAGCTTTGACGCAGTATTTCCAATGACCCTCAGGTCTTCCGCCTCGTTGACCAGGTAAGCCAGATTGATGCCACGCAGCCCACTGGCCGGGTAGAGTGCCTTGGTGATGGAGACCTTGAGTTCCGGGATGTGCATCCCTGGCTACGTTAGTCCGCTGTCAGTTTTATGGTGAAGGCACACCAATGTAGTGTTGTCATGATTTGTAGTAGGCTGTGGGCAGTGACCGTGAAGGAGTAAAGAAATTAGTTCAAACATTCCCCCAGCAATGACCCAGTCCGTCGGGTATCTCTTCTGGGAGGCTCTTAAACTCCGGCAGAGTCCGCCCAACAAAAGCTGAGCCAACAAGGCAGTTCTGGTATCCTCATCGGCCAGAGGTACGTGTGATCAAGAGGATCAACTTCACTGTCAACAAGGGCCAGGCAGTGGCGTTGGTGGGCTTCTCCGGCAGTGGCAAGTCCACGATGATCCAACTCCTGCAGCGCTTCTATGATCCTCAAGGGGGCTCCATCCGTGTAGGTGGCACGAACCTACGGGATCTCAATGTAGCTTGGTGGCGTCGGCAGCTTGGCATGGTAGGCCAGGAGCCTGTGCTCTTCGACGTTTCCCTGGAGGACAACGTCAAGTATGGCTGTCCGGAGGCCACCGACGAGCAGGTACAGGAAGCCGCGAAGGCAGCCAACATGGAGTACGTCTTCTCAGGAGCTGTCAAGTGGACCGATCGAGTTGGACTTCGTGGTGAGAAGTTGTCAGGTGGACAGAAGCAGCGGTGTGCTATTGCTCGGGCTCTGCTTCGCCAGCCACAGTTCATGCTCCTCGATGAAGCAACATCAGCGCTAGACTCTACGTCAGAGCGCCTGGTGCAGCAGGCCATGAAGGCGGCCAGAGTGGGTAAGACCACGATCACGGTGGCACATCGCCTTTCCACCATCCAGGATTCGGACAAGATCTTTGTTCTCTCAAACGGCAAGCTTGTTGAATCCGGCACTTACCAGGAGCTCGTCGACTTAGACGGCAACTTTGCAAAGCTGGCTGCTCGCAGCTTGTGATTCCCAGGGCGAAGGTCAAGCATCCCTAGGCCCCAGGAGTCTATTTGGGTGTTTCCCAAAATTAGGGGTGCCCACTATAATGGAGAATCAAATGGAAAAGAAAATGGAAAATGAAATGGAAACTTGGATTATATAGAGGATTATATAGCATACACTTTGTAGGATCAATGGTTTCCAGTAGGTACAGGCTTGCACTGCAAGTTGGACTCTTAGGACTCCAAGGGATTCTGGGTCTTCACGAAGATGTCCAGGAATCTTGGAGCAAAGCTCAAGAAGAAGTAGCTCATGAGCGTGGCCATCGGCTCATGCGTTGAAGCCATACATGTTCTTTACTCGTCGTTGCTCTCAGATTCCACGGGCTGCAGTAATCTTTGCACTGCAGAGGGCAGCGTCCCTGGCCGGCTTAAAAGGGCCGGAATTCACCACTCTTTTGCGCGCCTTGCAGAAGCATAAGGCAATGAGAGGCGCGTTGGGCCAGGGAGAAGATGTAAGCGAATGTAGGCTCATGTACATTTCATGGAAGAGGCCGAATACCAGGAGAAATCATTGTTTTAGTGTTGCACTATGAGACCTGTATCACCATTACTAGCACACCTGTGTCTCTTTGCCGCGTAGCTAGCTGCCGTGGGAGGCAACCTGGCCTATAATGCATGCTTTTCCTCATTCCCAATCATGTTAAGATGGCAGCAACGGAGCGATTCGCGACACCGCCAGGCTGCGAGCTTCCATCAGCATGATGCACGGATTAACCTGGCTGCTCCTTTGTGGTGATTAAGCCGCATGGCCTACTGTGTTTGCATCAAAGCCATCGACTATTTACTGTACTTATCAGCGCAAAAACAACCAGTTACCTAGCGCCGCTGTTCAACATAATTTCTTCCTGCCGCGGATACAGTTCACAAGACTTTGAAACTACTCGAGGATGGGAATGTTACACTCGTTTTTTGTGGACCGAGCCTCTACGATACCATCAAAAACTCATGATCGTAACAGCAAAAACTGCACTAGCGAACAACTGTGACAGGACTGACTCGGTCTGACTGGACTGACACATCACACCAGCACCAGCATAACTTATGGTATAAATCTGGGTACCATTGCCCTTCACCCGATACTTGCTGATACAGTGGTTCACCTACGTGTCATACGGGAAGTCCCAGTGGAGATGATTCGAATAACGAAGCCAACAGATACCTTCCGGTGTGATTGCCACTCGTTGTATTCTGATTATAATAGCCTTCGAAGATTCATGAAAAGCAGCTGTTGCCACGTAGACTTGTTCGAGCGCTAATTCTAGCAGGGATGAGTATGCGAAACGCTCTCGCGCTCCAACTGATAGGACCCGGCAGTTTCTTTCGTGGACAGGTCCATACACCTCGGGGTTTCATACATTGCAGCTTGTCTGTGACCCTGGGCCTGTGTGACGTTGGCCTGCAAAAATCCCCCGGTACGCTACGGCTGTGCCGATAAACAGGGTTGGTTTCGCTACTCTTACGACTCTCGGAACCTTCTGCAAAAGTGCTAGTAGACCGTACAAGGTTCCCTAAATCTACACTGCCTGGCAGAGGCTGGGAAAGAATCACAAACTGCACGACTTTCGCTCACCCGCAGTTTTGCAGCTGCGTGGGCGCCGTTTCGAGACCGCGAAAACAAGAGAGGTGATCTGCCTGTTCTATGAAGGCGGCTGTACTTGCTGCCTGTGGGCGGTTGGCTAGGCCAAGCTCTGTGTAGGGGCCCGTGATTGTGCTTTGTGCTAGCAGTCGGCACCAACAACTCTATGCAAGTGATGCTCTTACTCTACACACTTCAGGTGCGCTCAATGTGTGTGCTATGCGTCTTTGAGGGCCCCAAGGGCTTTCTTGAGAAACTCTCAGCACTAAAACCCCTAACTCCGGTCCCCATAAACCACTACCATCCATGTTCTCATGTATTTTCCCAGTTCATTCTCCATTGTTCAAATTATTTGGGTCCAAAAAAACCCCTTGCAACCCCAATGTATCCGTATAGCCGAAGGCCCCCAAATGCATCATTACAGCCAAAGCCCCACACCCTATTCCCTGGTCTAAGACCGTTTCAGACCCATCACTCCCCAAGATTTTCCAAGGCTTTCGGGAGCTTTGGGCCGCCTTGGCAGCCGCCGAGGTGCCATCTGGTCGTTGTCCTTGCCATGCTTCTGGGCAGGGTTCCTTTAGTGGGGTTCTATAAGGGTTCACAGGGTACAGTACATAGGGATGTGATATATGGGAACTCGGTTTTGTCCGAATCAGCGCTTTTTGTGGCAGTCCCTATAGTAAGCAGGCTGCCATAATTCAATCGCTAATCCGTGTTTTCGGCCTCGCGCCTATGTGCATTTCAGACCCACCCCAGCCTGCGGAACTCAGCTGACCAGCCAAACACCCCTGCCGCCCCTGGAAACCGAAAAAAACGAGCTGGTCGGACCTTGAAAGGTAAGGGAGGGCCTACTTACTCTCCTAGTCTCCGGACCTAGATCTAAACGCCCCAGGCCTCTGGCCTGGGCGGATTGGGGCCCTTATTCATGAACAGCCTCTTGTGGGGTATAGGGTCCGTGACTAGCAGGGAATGGAAAACAAGATCGAAGCCACCACGCTTGTGAGGGCTCAAGATAAGGTTGAAAAGGGTTTCCCGCATTTGGGAAGCCTTGCAGCAGAGACTGAAGTATTTGGGGGCAGAGAAAGGGGACCCTTAGGGACTTTAGGAATATACGGTGATCGTAATGGGATTAGGAGGTCCTCAAAGGGGATGATTGTGAGAAATTACTCTGCTGGGCAGTTCTCGTGTCATTATGGCTTCGGGGGGTGTAGGAAGCGTTCTTCAGGAAATTTTTGGGAGTTCATGTACAGCGACGCTCTGACGGAGAACCATTAGTTTCAATTCCGCAGGACAGCCAACATCTTTACTTTGGTTTCGAATGTCGCGGCAAACTCTTTTTTGATTGAAAGAAACAGGAGCCGAATACTTTTGCTTGATCACTACCACCTATCCCCCTACCATCATGGTCGTCAGTACAAGATTTCGGCTGTTGTTGCCGCACTAAAATACGAATCGGTACCGCTCATCTGTTGTTGTTTATCTTGCTGGCTTTCTGAAGTGGTCTTCAGGACATCTCACCAATACTCTTACATTTGCGGTTTGGACAATGGATGTGGATGACAGTGGGATTGCGTTACAACATATTGGATCATATGGGTAGTGATGAGAAAAACGCATTTCAACATTACGTCAACCAAAGATGCATTACTCCACAACTTTAGGATCCTACCATTAGAGCAGCTTAAGAAGCTCTGAAATGGCATGCATGTGATTTTAGACATTCAGATTCAGATAGGTATCCAAAGCTGAAATGGCATGCATGTGATTTTAGACATTCAGATTCAGATAGGTATCCAAAGCATGAGCGCCCTCCTACATGTCACATGCCCTCAAGCCCTCAAGCAAGCACACTTCATTCTGCATTGCAAGAAGAAGGAGGCCTGTCAGTCTTAGAAGTTCTCCAAATTCTTTAGAAGGACATTACCTCCATGGAATCATCCCCCAAAAAGGCCACAATTTCCTCTAAATACCCTCAACAAAGCCATCTTCAAGCCTAAGGACCACCCGAAAAAGGACCCAACCTCCCCCCAAAGTCCTGGAGGCATTGTGGGAGCTCTGCATCGAAGCCGCCGAAGCCGCGCTCCTCGGCCACCGCCTTCCTGAGTAGTAGGAGGGCTTACTGAGGCCTAGGAGGGAATAAGGGAATATAGTGGTACAATATGGGGTTATATGGGGATAATGGAAAAGAAAATGGCAACTACTATCCAGGGTTAAGGTGTAAAAGGGAATATACTATCTAGGGATCATATAGGGAATATAGGGGTATAATATAGGTAGTAGTGGCGGAAGGTGGTAGTAGCTAGTAGCAGTAGTCATTCTACGTAGTATTGGTACCCAACTGTCTGTCAGGCATTGTCTCGGCATGGTGTTTTTGCTGCTGGAGGTAATTGGCCATTTTCAAGATCATACGCCTTTTTTGGCAAAGCGCTGGTTTTGCTTGCTCTTGAAGTTTGTCACTTTCTGCAATCTCCTCAATTTGCAAGATTTCCATGGCACCAGAGCCCCCGAAGTACAGAGAATCCATACCGCACCAGATGGCATCTAGCATTGCTCAACATGCAACAAATCCAGATTCTGCACGAGAGTTGTCACTTCTGACAGTTTGCCTGCAAGGCTTCCTCAGAAAAAAACCACCACCGGGCATCAGACAATGCAGTAGTAGCTAGTAGTAGGAGTAGTAGTAGTAGTAGTAGTGGTGGTGGTAGTAGTAGTAGTAGTAGTACTAGTACTACAGGTAATAGCCGTAGAGGCGGTGTACTATTCTTGCTGCTGCAGCGAGGGGGTCGTTGAGAACGAAGCTCTAGATTCAGATGGGCAGTCCCTGGCTCTTCCCTGGCAAAACCCCAGCTCCTACATGATCTATAGTCTAAACTCCTTAAAGGAGGTTACATAGGGCATTATATAGGGGATTATATAGGGGGCTATTATAAAGGTTGTTAAGAGGGATACTAGGAGTTTAGACTATAGCTCACATGTGATGCGCCTGTGCACAAACCAAGGGCACTGCTTTGGAAGCTCAGCTGCAGGGGCTGAGTTTGGGACTGAAATCAAGAGTTCAGGCACATATGTATTCTTACATTGGCTCTGGGCAAGATGTGAGAGGCCTTTTTTGTTTTGTAAGAAACGACATGTGTCAAGGTCCACGACCCAGGCACTCTCAGAATGATGCCTGGCTGCAACGCTACTTGAGTAGGGAAGGGGTCCAGGGGTGTGCTTTCCATGCGAAAGGTCACAGGATTTGGGCATAATGCTGAAGTGACGGCTTGTGGCGGCTCCCAAGCAAGATATGATATTTTCCCAAAATAGGGAACCCCAATGCACACCCTAAAACATTATAATCCTTATTATAAGGACCCCCAAGATGGTACCCCTAATTTCGGGAACCCCCA